GTACAGAGGCAGGTCCTAAAGGGGGCATCGGTGACTCAGCCCCAGGGAAGTGTGGCCTTGTGGGAATGTGGTTCTTGGGCTGCCTGACCTTCTGACATTTTACAAAATGCAGGAAACATGTTGTTGTTTTTTAAATATACAATATCCTACTTTTCAAAACATTCGGGCCAAACAGGATACATCCATGAGCTACATTTGGCCTGTGGCTTCTACTCTGCAACCTCCCCCTGGAAACAAGAGTTACAGAATTGGGATTAATGGCGTTCAGTCCCACCAAGCAGATATCTTGAAGGTTCAACCTGCTAAGCCAAAAGGTGACCCATTCATCTCCATGAGCCTTGGCTCAGTCTGCATTGCAAGTCTGAAATGTCGTTTCTTCTCCCTAGCCTGCCCTCAGCCATTTCTCTCAGTAGAGAAAGAAAGCACTTTCCACCCTAACCCTAGAATAAACCCACTACTTCATATCTGGTGAAGGTGCAGGGGCTCCTGCAGTTCCAGCCAGTCATCATTTGTACAGTCTGTGCAGACATGGGGAGCCAGGCCTGAGGTCCTCAGAGGCTAGGGGACAAGTGGCGAAGTGTATTGGCAGCACCCTTCGGGAGGGTGAGAGTCCCCCAGGCGTGTGGGAACCTTGCTGACAGCTAAGTGGAAACATGGAAAAACCGGAGGTCATCTGGCTGATTCTGCTCAGCTGATTATTGTAATTGGATGACAGACCGATATTTCCCTCTCCTTTTCAACTGGTGTTGCAGGGTGAGTGGACCTGGCTAATGATTCACTTTTCTGGGTAGTGACCTAATGGGGAAGATTACCTCCTTTCACAGGCAGAACTTTGCCTGCCATGCGTTTGGCTGCCTAAAGAATAAAACCAGGTTCAACCAAAGTCAAATGACAGGAAATTTCAGGACTTCCTCACATTTCATATTGCATTGTCTACCAGGGTCTTCGAAACGTTCCCTGCTCTAATACTCAGAGGGGATAGATAGTTGAAGAGTAAAATAGAACAGAATAATGACAATAGGGAAAAAAGGAAGGAAAGATAATTTGTGCAAAATGATAGGACTTCTCATTGGGGGAGCTTGTAGAAAAGAATTGAAAATAAGGAGAACATTTTAGTTTGGTTTTGATGGAGCTTTTACACTGAAATTCCTCAAAATATGAGACGTAGATTTAGAATTTTGTAATGCTGTGGATGGAGCCCTCTTCTGGAGAAATTTTTCAACAGGTATTAAAACAGGATCAAAACACAGAGATGAGCCCACACACAAACACGGAGATATGAACGACTGTTGGCTGCTGTCACTCAGATGTGAATTGAATCCATAGTTCATCCTTTTCTTTAGCTTCCACTATACAGAAATTAACTGGACTCCCCAAGCAACTGTCTTTTGGAAGGAGGGAAAGAAAGATATTCTCAAGGAACCAGCTGTACTTTTACCTCAACAGTGAACTTCAGACCGAGACTCAACATTCACACCCCATTACTGGTACTTTTAGGTAATGCAGTTACTGCGTGCATTGGTTTGTTGGGCAATTTTGCCATAACACAGAGAGGATATTTCTAGGGGGAAAAGAAAAGATTTTTTTTAATGGAAAACACACGGGCTAAAGATAGAAAAGGAGAGAAGGGAGGGAGGCAGAGCAGGAGATATTAGCTAAGATGACTGTTGGGGCTTCTAATATAGACTGTGGTGTTACATAAATTTCAGATCACATATTCAGCCTTGCAGTTTATTAAATCTCTTTGAGGACTTGCTAAAAAAAATTGTTCAGACACATGAACGCTACTACTTTGCAATTCCTTTCACCACTCATATCTCTGTTTCCCCAGCGCTTTTGGAATCTTACAGGCCATCACATGTTGAACCCATCTCAGAGCAAGAGATCCTCTGCAATGCTCACAATCCTTCCTCCCCAACGAAAGGGCTCTGCAAGTAAACTCTGCCCTTAAAATACAATATACGAAGTTGCAGGGGCATAAGAAGACACTGATTCTCATTTAACACCCTGGAAGTCAAGATTCTGACTCCAAGAAAAACCTCCCCATCTTAAATCAACATCTCAGAATTCCATGGAATAGTTTTAGTCACTTCCCAAGTGACTGTTCTCCAAACCTGGACCCTCCCTACAGTCCTAATACTTGGGAGATTACTCATTCATTGTTGGAGCTTTTGGCTAGATGTGACACCCAAATTGGGCTGGGGAATCACATTTTGCAGTGGAATTTCTAGCTCACGCCTCTCTTGATTTGTTTTGCATTCATTATTTACCATAGCCAAACTCCAGAGGCCACTTCTGGGACTGCCTTTCCCAAAATGCCCCAGGGGAGAAGAGAGGTGACTGCTTCTCTGCTTTGCCAGCTTCCAGCCATTGTTGCTTTGAATTCCTCTTCCCTCTTCCAAAATGCCTAAAACAGCAACCTAGCCAATAAACTTACAGAGATTGATGGCTTCCAAAACCAGACCCAGTGTATTTCAACGGTGGTAGAAAAACACACACATACTTGCCTGAATACCACTAAGGCCAAGTGACTAATCTGCTTTATTACATTGATTTTCCCCTTTCTTATGTTTTCTCTCTGCCTGGGGAAAGTTTTGTTTTTGCTTGTAGGCTCAAAGGCCCCCCGACTCTCCGCACCTTTCCACTATGTCAGACAGAGTTTTGCACTTGAACCTCTTGCTGGTTAACTGATTTGCACCACAATGATTTCCCTGCAAGGTACTATTGCTACCAGGATATCAGTTACTGTCCTAAGGTGGACATTTGCTCTGATTATGAATAACAGTCTAAGAGAAATAAGCCTCTCAGGGAAGGCAATTGAATTCGAGGTAAAACCTCTGCTCCTCCATCCTAAAGAAACTGAGAGAGACAACAGCCTTCAGAAGCCACCTGTGCCCGTCAGGTCCTGGGAGAAGAGAAACCCCAGTTGCTTTGCAAAAGGCATCATGTCAGCCCCTAGAGCACAGGAATTGCTGGGTGCTGGCATGTGGTCTGATTTGCTCAAAGGAAGACAAAACTTTGGGCAAACCCTGGAATCCGAACTGAAGTCAAGCACGTCCATGGAGAAAAGGACTGTCAAGTCCTAGGTCAAGTAGAGGTAAGGGCTCCCAGACACGGAAATCTCCCAGAGTGCTAGGACTGGTGCTAAACGCATTACCAAGGACATCCTGTTGAATGCAATCTAATCCGCCCAGCAATCCTAGGAAGGTGACAGAATTACTTCACCATGGAGAATCTGGAAGTTCAGCGAGGTTAAGCAGGCTGCCAGCACTGGCGGAGGGGATCTGTCTGAATCAGAGCCATGCTCGGAACCACCCCCTAAGTTAGTACGTATATACACACACGCACACATATACACATGCGCCTCTCAGAGATGGTGAGGAGTTCAGAAAGTCTAGAAAACTGGCTCACAGACAGGCACAGGATTTGTGGCAGGACTTAAAGCTACAGGGACCTCAAGAGAATCAGCCCAAAACCCTAGTAGGGAAGAGTAGGGGGCTGTGGATCCAGGGAAGAATGAAGTCATGAGCTGGGGGTGGACTCACCAGCCAGGCACCCTACTCTGTCCCCAGGCACCATCATCCACCCTCACCCCCTCACACTGAGTCATTACCATGGTTACGGCTTCCTGGGACACTGACCCATTTCCTAAGGTGGATGTCTCCCTGGTCTCCCCTCAGAAGGCTGCACTGCATCTCTGCAGTCCAGCCAGCCCCTGCCTGGGACTCCAGGGACCTCACCCCCCCCCACCCCACTCACACCCTCACACATGTGTGTGCCTCTTGCCCTGGCATCCAGCAGTCCTGGCCAGGAACTCGACACCCATTCCCAGCACCCCAGGGCACTCCCTGTCTCCTTCCCTCCTCTCTGCCTGGCCCTGCCCCGATCTCATCTCATCCACCCACTTGTAGGCTGCCAGCACATGCCATGTCCCGTAAGTAAGCTGCCAGGAAGGCCAGGGGGACTGGGTCACAGTGCTGTCAGAAAACGGGCCCCAGAGCAGGGCTGAGCCTGCCGCCACCAGCAGCTCCAGCCTGGCCTCCTTTCCTGCACACAAACTTCCTGAGATCTCGGAGATGGTTGCAGAAGGACCACGTCTCCATCGCCCCCCTCTCCCGGGTCGCCGGCCCTTCCCTGGCGCCTCAGCGCTCGGAGGGTTAACAGGCAGCTGCAGCCTGGTGGGCAAGGCTTGAACTTTTGCCGCGCTCCGCGCCCGCCCTCGAACACCGCAGAAGCGGCAGTCGGGGCTCGGGCGGTAGTTACAGGGGGCTAGACAAAGCGGGAGCGGGAGGGAGGGGGCTTTGCTGGGGCCTGCGCCCGGGCGAAGGGATGAGCTAGGGCCCTTGTGGGCCCGAGGTCAGGAAGGGGATGGACCCCGATGCGGGCGCGGCCAGCGCCTTTGAGCGACAGCGGCAGCCGGGCTGCGGCGTTCGGCGGGCCGGAGGCGCCTTCCTGCGCGCCGCCCTGCCGGGCGAAGGGGCCCGGGCGCCCCGGGAAGTCGGCGATACCAGGCCGGCCTCTCCAGCCCGGCAGCCCGCAGTCCGGACCCGAGCTGCGCTTCCCCGATCGGCGCTGGGCTGGGGAAACCACGACTCCTTGGAGTCGCCTCCAACTGAGTCTCGCCAATTCATGAGCCTACAGAGGAGGCGAATCAAAGTTACCCTACTTGATGTAGGCGAGAATGTCGCCCCTGCTTGCAAAAAAAAAAAGACTCGGAGCTCTCTCCACCTCTCCTGAACGTATACACACGCACACACACACACACACACACACACACACGCACACGCAAGCCAGAGTGGGAGACTGCCACCCCCCCACCCCCCCCCACGCCCTAGGATTTCAGGGGCTGGGAATGACCTCCCTTTTGAGCCCCCGAGCTGTCTTCGCCGCCGTACCCGGAGTCCCCCGACCCCACGAAAGCCCCCTCGCCCAGCCCGCGCCAGGCAATCGGAATGCAGAAACGGGGCGCGGGGCGCGCCCAGCAGCCCCCTCTCCCCTACCTGGGACAGGAGAACGCAAAGGACGAGCGGAGTTGTCGGCTGCATTTTGCCCGACTAGAAGCGCCCGGCGGCGTTTTCATTCATGCACGCGGCTGCACTGAGCATATTTTCCGTGGGAGCCAGGCTTTGAGGAGAGGCTCTGCCTCGCCAGCCAGCCAACTTCCCAAATAGATCAGCGGCAGCATCACGAAAGCATTGGGTAGAGGCTGATGACCAGGACCAATGGCTTTACAAGACGGATTCCTTCATAAAGCTCCCTCGTTTTGCATGGCAGATACGGGGCGAGCACCTCGCCTGGCGCGAGCCCCTCGCAGGAGGCAGCCAGTTCGCTTTTTTGGACTGTTGGGGCCCAGCCCCACAAATCACGCTGGGCAACGCCAGCTGATGCCACTTTTCCAAAGAATGGAATTGCACCAGGAACTGGCGGCCACTTGCAGCCCAGTGCAAGAAATTCTCTTTATTAAAATGTTAATAAGATCCACTTTACTTCCAATAAATCAAATAAAATGACCCCAGCAGTTCCAGTCCTTTCTACGCCTGGAAAGACTTGGCGGTGGATTTTTTTTTTCTTTTTCTTATTTTTTTTTTCAACGTGGCCCAAGTTATGATGGTGTTTGGTGTTTCCCTGCCATCTCACAAATCACCAAGACGACAGATCAATTCTAGTTCGCAGGAAAAAAAATCCATCAAGGGGCAATAGATTTTATTAACTGCTCAGGTGAGAGCCTGACTGGCCGCCCGCTCCACAATTGTGCATCTGGCACCAAAGTTGAGGCCATGATTTGAGGAAACTTTTTTTTTTTCTCTATCTGGATATGTTCTTTTAAAAGCTTCTAGCTATCTCCAGGGATTTGGAACAGTAGTAGCCACTGCTCAAGAGATTTTATAAGTGGGGTGCTTTGGGAATGAGGGTAAGAGGGATCTTTCGGTCTAACTTTCACAGGAGGAGTTTAAGAATGTGTATTAAAGTCCTTGCTTTGTCATTTCCATACAGCCTCCTTCTAAAAGAAATTTCAAGTTTTTTTTATAAAGGAAAGTTTTTCAATAGAATTTATGCAACCAAAATTTAAAAAAAGAATCTGGGTCAGGAGGAAAAACTCAGAAAACTGAAATACTAAACCCAAACTCTAATGTATTTCCTCCTATTTGGATCTGAGATCCCCAGTGGCCAAAGCAATAAGAGAAACATGTAGACTACATATAAGACTAGTTCTTATATGTGCAAGTAAACAAATACTTTCTAACATAATTTCCCTGACTCTAAAAATTGGACTAAATATATGATGAGACATCTAATATAGCAGCACGCTGAGCAATGGGCCATGCTGAGATCTAGTAGGCTGGGCTGTATTCCCAAGTCTGACACAGGCCCTGAAACATGGAGACAGTCGTAAGGGCGTTAAATAGATGTCTAGACTTAATCAAGCAGTAGCAGAGGGTGGGGTGGGCTGAAAAATCTGGAGCAACATTTTCTAAGTTTGACCTCCAGCTCTGCCACTGGAGTTTCCCACTCTCTGTCCTCTGTTTGTCCACTGGTTAAATGAAATATAAATTGTACTGAATTCATAAGGTTGTGGAAGATTAAGTGACAAAATAACCACTCAATAAATGTAAACTGATGCACTTTTTAAAATTTCTTCATTGTCAGCAGTTCAGTCACAAGGTCATCTCATGTGGTCCCAAGGTCACTGATCCAGATGCAGTGCCATCTGACCACCCGGCTGCATTAGTCAACGCTGGTCCAAGAGATGGCAACGTTGGCCAAATAACCCCCAGAAGAGCCTAAGAAAGGTGGCGGCTGCTGCTGCTTCCAGCCTCTTCAGCTTTCCACTGTTCTCTTTAGGCACCCACCTCCAAGTCTCTGAGAAGTGCAGTCAGCGTTGGACAGATGATCCGATTGTCCCAGCTTGGAACCCACATGTGTGGAGATGCCTCCCCAAGTTACCCACCAATAGGAGTAAAATAGGGTACTCTGAAGTCAGACAGACTTCAGATAAAAGCATCCTAGAGTACCCTAATTTTTATCCTTTCCAGGGCAGGTGCCATCTTGTCAATCAGAGGCCCACTGGGTGAGCCCATGGATTCAGCAGACACAGAGACAGAGAGAGATGAGGACAGCTTGGGAGATGATCAACCATGACAAGGGGTAAAGGGCAGAAAGATGATGTTGCAGCCACTTTTCTACAAGCAGCCACTTGGGCAGGGAAGCACACTAAGGTTAGGGTGTGTCCAAGGTACAAAGCAGCATTACTGATTTTATTGTTCTGCTGGCCCTTTCTGTGGTCTTCCCACCCCATCTCTCTTACTGCTCCTCACCAAACAGGCCCAGCTTTCCCCCTTTTTTGCAGGGTGGCACTTGCCGGCCCCCGTGTGCTTACATGGGGCTGTGTGACTAGTTCTAGCCAATGAGCTGGGAGCAAAAGTGACAGGTGTCACTTCAAGGCTGGAGCACTTAATCACCAGTGTGAGACAGGTTGGTTTCCCTGGAATAGGGACTGAAATGACTATTTGTGCAGGCGGCTTATGGGGGAGTGTTCTCACCACAACCGCTGCAAGAAGGAGGCAAGCAAGACTGACAGAGGGCGAGGTGGATGACTGCAGCTGCAGCAGAGGCCTCAGCCAACCCCAGGAGCGCTCTGAGGCTAGAGCAGCTTTTTCGAGATGAGCCTAAGAGAGTCAGGGGGCTGCGCCCCCGTGCCTCCAGTGGGCCAATTGTCAGCTGTTCCCCAAGGAGGGGAATAACCTGTCAGAGAGCTTGGTTTGGCCAAGGACCATATTCCAGTCTGTCCTCAACTTTGTCACTTCTACATAAAACTAAGGTGTGACCTGTAACAAGTAACCAGAGGCTATGATTCCCAGGCTGCTGATGCCCTCATGCACCGGATGGGACCAGTGAAAACAGATGTAGTTTTGCCTGGCTGAAGGCCTGCTCATTCTGTCACCAGCCAGGACTGGCTCCAGCATTTACCCAAAGTTCTGGGCAGGCAAAGTGGCTCCAGCCAACCCCATTTGATTTCAGTTGAATCCCACGGGCCAGTCTCCATTCCCTCCTGTCTCAGTCCCCACAGGGTGGATTATTGGGGCTGAGGAGAGTTAACTTCAAGAGTCTTTTCAGGCCTTGAGGCTTACCTCTAGAAACTCACAGCGTCTAGGAAGCCAAAAAGATTGATCCACAAAATGAAACCTGGATTGGAATCTCCAGACTTTATTTACATTGGGCAAGTTGCTTTTACTCCCTGAACCTCAGTTGCTTCATCAATAAAATGGGAATAATAACATCACACTCCAAGGACTGATATAAAAATTGATGTCACTTCCCCCCTCTACCCCCTACTCCCTTCTACTCTCAGAGAATGTGCATTTTGCTAAAAAAAAAAGATATCAAGTTTTGTTCAACAAAGATAGGAGAAAAATCATTTCACTCCAATGATTAGAGGCGTTTGAAGAAATCCAGTTTTGTTTGTTTGTTTTGTCTTGTTTTCCCTTCAGCTCCCTAATGAGAGTCTTTTAACTGATAGATTGATGCTGGCAAGTAAATACTGAAGCTGAAAACCAAGCTTCCTACCCTGACTCTATCTCCTCCCACCCCAGCCCCCACCAACCCCGGACAGTTTTTGCAGCTGTGGGTTCCCCAGAAGCTTGGTCTGCATTCAGACACATTCCAAGCTCACACTCCTTTTCTGGGCACCTCATTCTGGCTTTGGAGCTGATGATGGAATCATCCAACAGTCAGCAGCTGTCTCCTGAGGTGCCAGGGGTTGAGACTGTTTCCTCTCACTGACTGACATGAAAAAGACATCCTTCCTGTGTGTGTGGAGGTGGCCATGTGGGTAGGTGAAATGCTTGTGTCTTTTGTGTACAAGTACTTGTGTATGTATATCTGGAAAGGGGGCAACTGGTGTATCGTCCAGCAGAGATAACTTGTTCAAACTGTCATACCTTTGAATGTGCTGCTGTGATGAGGCATTTGTACAGTCAGTGATAAACCAAATAGATGCCCTAATTTGGTATGCCAGGAGCCCTTGGTAACTGGGATATACTCAGACAGCAGGAAGAGGAGCCCATCCTGAACAGCCTTGCAACACAGCATAATGTTGACGCTATCCCCCTCCCAATGGGATGGCCTGCTAGAAATGCCAGGGTGATGACAACACACCATCCGCCACAGCTGGCCACCCAAAAGCACACCTGACTGCTCGTGAGCCATGAACCTGCTTTATGTTTCTTCCTTCATGTTACTTGGCCTTAGGCTGTAAATGGACACTTGCACTATTGTCTGAATTATTCATTCCAACTGTACCGATATCCTTTACCCCTTGACTTTGGGTTTGGCCACATGAACATGGTGTGACCAATGGAATGTGGCAGAAGTGATGGAGGGCCATCCATAAGTCAAAGCCGCAAGAGACCCTGTACATTTCAGCTGCTGCTTGCTGGGGCCTCCGCCAATGCCTTCAAAGGCACATTCATGGGTAAGCTCACTGGTCGTAGGAGAAGACAACACCCCCACGGGCCCAGAGATGCTTGAGCAAGTGTATCAGAGCCCCTCCAGATCAGCTGGCCTACAGTTATATGAACTAAAAATAAATAATTGCTCTAAATCAGAGGATGGTTTGTTGCACAGCAATAGCGAACCAATTATCACATTTGCTTTTTTTTTTTGCATCAATGTATTCCTCTGGAATATAAGTCCCACGTCTGTCTTTTGCTGCTGTGTGCTCAGCTTCTAGAACAGAGTCTGGCACATAGTAGGTGCTCAAATGATTTTTGTTGAGAAGATGCATTGCCTAGCTTCTGTACTGATGATAGTGCTGCTGATATGAACCTCCCCTACATGCGCTGTCCTACCAGAAATACTTTCTGAGGACAGTTCAGTCCTCCCACGTGGAAAGCATCCTATGACCTTGACAGTCTTCACTGCCACTTAGCCACCTAATTCAGCCTATGACAAGGCAAGTTCCTCTTATGATGGTCTAGAGTAGGATTAGATGAAGTAAGGAACGTTCCACAGAGACTAGGATGGACAGCTAGGTGCTTGGGGATCTTCAGTGAAGGACACCGGGGGTGAGACAGCTTTCTG